GGCGGCCATCGCGGTAGAGAAAAGACTTACCTCACGGTAAGTCGTGACTTTTACTTGACCCGCCAGTATCAGTTTGTACGCAAGTACATACGTGCTTGCGAGGTTTGCCAACGGGTGAATCCTAGTCCTTCATCCCGTGCACCATTGCAGTCTCTGCCTGTTCCGACAGAGTGCTGGCAGTCCGTTTCAATGGACTTCGTCTTCGGTTTCCCCGAAGACGCTCACAAGAGTAATGATATTCTTGTGCTTGTTGACCAGTTCAGCAAGACTGGTTCATGTTGCTGCTGTACCCGAGTCGATCAAGGCTCAAGGTTTTGCTCGTGTCTTTCTCGACAAGGTCTCTAGACTCCACGGGTTACCCCGTGAACTCGTATCCGACCGTGGCCCTCGGTTCACAGCGGCATTTTGGCAAACCGTGTTCCGTTCTCTTGGAGCACGATTGAAGATGTCCACTTCTGACCATCCAGAAACAGATGGTCAGACGGAACGTGCGAATCGTGTCCTCGAAGAGATCCTTCGAGGATATGTCCACTCGTTTTCGAGTTGGAGCGAATTCCTACCCATGGTGGAATTCGCCATCAATAATTTGGTGCATGCTTCCACACAGCACACAACGTTTTACGTGAATGGCCTACTCCATCCATGTGTACCCACCCTTATTAAGTGTGACTCTTGGATAGGGGGAGGGACTCGCTCGAGCAAAAACCGTTTTGGCTCTTGCTCATCACGTGTCGACGCTAACGTCGTCAGGTATGATGCCGACGTCGATCAAGTCGACATCGATGAAGAAGATCACCTCAATAATAGCGATGACGATATTATTGACTCGGATGATGATTACGATGCTGGTATATTCAGCATCGTCAACGATTATGCCAGCGAGGAAGAAGACAACCTCGCTGAAGAAGAGAGCAATCTCTTAGCAGTGCGCACGAAGCGCACTGCCAGACAAAACAAAGAGTCAGCAGAGAACTTCCTGCTGACTCGAGAAGCGGTAGTCCGTTTCGTTCAGGACTCCATCGCAAATGCGGTGGACCGTCAGAAACGGAACGCAGACAAGAATGGAAGAGCAAATGTTCTTTCATTTAAGGTTAACGACCTAGTACTATTGTCTACGGTAAACTTACCTGGACATGCAGTCACTAGTGTCGGAAGTAGTAAACTACTGCCGAAATACATTGGGCCATTTCGAGTGTTGCATCGCAAGGGCAATGCATACACACTCGAATTGCCACGTAGGATGCGCACGCATCCTACGTTCTACGTGGGGAGGCTTAGGTCGTAATGTCAGTACGAGCCTTCTTCTTCCGATGAAGATATCCCCCACGTTCAATAACATCCATCAAGTTCTTGCGTTCGCGCTCCAGACGATCCGTCTGGTCGCGCAGATATGATACCTCGGAACTCAACCGAGATATCTCCCCGCGAGCTGTCGCCAGCTCGCCGAATAGGAAGCGGACATCCCGCTCGACCTGAAGCTGCGCTGCGGCATAATCGGTGCGGTCTCTCGCCCGATAAGCCTCGTGATCCTTGCGGTTCTTCCGCACGGTATCAGTCAAAGCGTAGCGCCGGTCGCGCTAGTGCTTCAAGTCATCGCGCAATTCATCGATTGCGCGATCCATCTCGTAAGGGTCGAGATGGTGAACCAAATCATCTGGAGGAGGTCTTTCCTCCTCCAATACATCCTTTGGTGGATGCTCACGGTGATCAACGCTTTCTAGTGGAGCGTATTTTGAATCACCGTGACGATTCAGGATCAAGGACGAGCTACCTCGTCCAATAGCGGGGGTATCCACCTTCTTGGAACAGCCGGGAGCCCCGCTCTCAGCTGTTGATGGACGTTGAAGGTCTCGTCCGCCAATATGACGAGACTCATCCGATTGGTCCTGTGGCCCATCGGTAAACACGCGCTCTAGGCGCTTGTAGACGGATTGCAAGTTTGCAATCGCGTCACGCATCTCAGCCGAGATGTGTGCCCTTCCCCAGGGCGAATTCAGGGAATCACATCGCTATGTGCACGCTGAGAGTTGTCAACACAACTCGCACAAGGGTCTCCCCAAGTGAAGCAAGGAATGTCTGCCTCACTCGACAAACAGTGCAAACGGTACATTGCACCGGTCGGTGTTCGCTTTTCGAACCTGAGGCGTGTCGCCTCAAGTTTCTTGAGCCACCCTTCTCGTCCAAAATTCTTTACGTTTTGGACGAACGCGTTCCACGCAGCCAAAAGCGATGTTTTGTCACGCTTTTGGTTGCTGTTGTACCATCGATGTCTAAGGAAGACATCGAGATAAAATTCTTCCTCAGCGCGAAAGCTACTCGCGCTGGGATCCTAGCCGTGAAGCTCAGTCGCATCGAATAAGGGTATTCGATGGTGTTGGCTTGTCTCGTGAGACAAGCCATTGATGAGCCGTTCGGGCATACGCCACGGCTTCGGCTCATCACGCTTCGAAGTGATACCTCTGTCGGTACCACGGTTGTCAGTATGACGATGAGTTGCACCATCGTCAAGTCGCTCGTGCGAAAAGCACGAGCTGATTGCGGTAATGAGCAAACATACGCATCATCCGATTCGTCATCACTGCCGAACAGACTGTGTTGCAACTCACGAGTCCGTTCGTTCGGAAGTGGCCTTGGCGAATACTGAGGCGTCGCCGGTGATCGAGACGCCTCTGGAACATTGCCGTAGTCAGACGTGTCTGACTCGCCAGAGTAGATGACCTCAATGTCGGGGTCATCATGCGCACGCGGTGTGGTACCGCGTGCACCTGCAGCACCTGTTGCTGCAGGCGAAGAAGGAGCAGCAGACGACGAATCGTCTGCCGGAGAGGCTGGCACAGCAGCGGGCTGTGTAGGTCTTGAGTCACCTCGCATTGACATGTTAACTATGAGAGGTCAAGCGGAAAGTGAATGGAACGGACCCAACAAGTGCTCCCTGTCCCAATGGTGCCCACTGGGTGGCCGCCATATTTTCGATAGTCACACGGTGACTATCAGTAAAGGGGGGTGATGTAACGGGGCAGCCTGTTACATGGAAATTGTCATTTGAGAGATAATGACAATAAAGAATATTATGTTGAATATTCTTTGAACAATATCACCAAAGTGGTGATATTGATGGGTCGACCAAAGAGTCTGTTCATTGATTGATATCTTGACGATATCAACCCACCAATCGCCGCAAGACGCGCGCAATGAATGGTGACGAGACGTCGTCATACATTCAGTTATATTAGTATAATTAAGTTAAGTCAAACCGAGAGACAGTGGTTATGGACTTAATTATATTAATATAACAGTTCTGCTTTTATCTTACCTACGCTTCCTCGTTTGCCTTGTGTACGTCTGTTGGGCGCACCAAAACCCTTGCGTTAAGTTCACGCAAGGGTGTGCCCCGTTACATTACCCTACTCGCTAATGTTCTAAATGAACCTCTCAAAAGATCTCGTAATCAATGGTTGACAGACATCGGTCTTCATCAATTGATACTGTGTTCGATTATCACTTTAAAGGGGATCCCATCCCATGTGTGCACCACACCTATTGTCGACTACCAGTAGACGTGTAATTCCGTTACAGTTGTGCAGGCCAAGTGCAAGACCTGGTACAGGTAAGTGCGACCACCTGATCGGCTGATTATGTGACAGAATGACAGATGGGGCGAGAGACGGACGTCATGTGACAGGATGTCACATGGGACATGGAAGAGCGGTCACCACATGAGAATTGACATGGTAATGTTGTAGTTTCCGTCTCTGGTCATATATATCGTAGTGTTGTAGGAAGCAAGTTCTTAGTACACAATTTATTCACTTTTACTTCCACCTACTTTGCACCAAGTGCACTACTACACTCTTACATGACCTTCACTGTTGTCAGTGAAAGTTAACTCCGTACTGGTAGACCAGTACGTAGTTGTCGGTGCCCCTTTACAAAAACGCCTTTATAACAATATGTAGCACCTTTCGATTCATTTCTACCCCTAACTCTGCAACTTAATATTCCCCTTATTTAATCAAAATATTACGGTCCCAGCTATACTAAATAAGGGAGACTTTACTGTATACCCGAAGTCTCTTCCAACAGCCGCCAGGAAGGGGTTGTCCGTGTTCGCGCGAGCGTTATCATTTGTCGATATAACGCTCACAACCGCGTGAGGCCGAACTCTTGCTTGAGCGCTGTCGCTCGCACATTTTCATGAACCCGATTCACGATTCAACACAGCACAACAAGCATGGTATCCTGCTTCTTGACGCTGTACGATACCGGCTACGCCGGGTGGGTGGAATCAAACTACGCATTTCCGGTGGTTGATGTCCGTATAATTCCATCTTGTCGCAGCATGAACCCTATTGATCTACACGAGAGATTGTCGCGCGCAAGATAGGTCTTACCAATAAAAGAGCGGCTAAGTTGCATGCAAAATATCCAACGTGTTTCAGCGTCATTGCCTTCATGGCTCTTGCTGTAGGCTCATGAGGAGTCACGGCTATATCACAACCCGGGATACACAGACGCTCGCACAATGGACAGCGTTGACATGACACGCAACAATACACTCGCAATCCATTTCTCGGTATCCCACTCGGTGAAGCAATGGCGTGTCGACTGCCTTGCTTCGACGGCCTGCGTAATATGTCACGATACAGCGTTTGACAAACCCGACCGGAACCCGGGAAAGTGTATGCCTCGCCACAAACCGCTAGCAGAAAGCACAATCTCTGGCTGGCAATCCCATGGTATCTCTTGCGACGCGGTGTCCCGGTGTACCCTTTGTATTCAGTCACATTGTGATTATGTGTGCTCACCGAACGTTCTGCGCGACACGAAAGCGCTGAGACAGCTACGGACCTATTTGGTCACATTGAAAGTGCATCAATAGTATTCAGGACATTGCGTCAGTTGATGCGCTTGACCATCTTCCTTGACAATCATCCACAGCGCGGGGGTAGAAAATTGGCCGTCCCGTTCAATTCATTCTTAAACTGCGAGCAACAACGTCAATGTCGTCGGCACCGTACCAATACGCGCTAAGTTTTTACTCTGCCGCGCCACAGCAACGCGTAGCGCTCGACGACTTTGAGAAACTGGGGCACAAGCGCGTGCAGCTGTTGAGTCAGCTAAAATACATTCGATGGGGTGTGCGTTCGACCGTCAAAGCAGAGGGACCGCCCGTTGACTCGCAACTGCAAGACTTTCCACCACATTCCACTGCCGACCAGCTGTCGCATTACGCCTTGCGCCTTGCGTTTTGCAGGTACTGTCCAATCTTAGCTCCCTACTGCCGTCAGAAATAAGTGATGCATACCAACCTTTGACACCTTACGGCATCTTGCATTTGTCTGCCTCTGCAAGAGATTCGAGTGGTTGGGACTGGCTGGTCGCTGCTGAAGCGAAGCTTTTGGCGGTTCGGCTCGAGAAGCTGCCACCGTATGCAGCAGTTGGACTCCTATCACGCGAAGGAATTAGGTATGAGCTGCTGAATGCAGACGATCTGAAGCTTGACGTGACGCAACGAGGGGTTTACCGCGTCCCGTTCACCGATGCACCTACGCTAGTGAGGTGCCGTGAGGTGGTGCTGCACGATGGGTTCTGCTTCGTCCCTCTCGGCAAGATGAAAGCGGTGGCCATACACTGTTTTCGACGATCAATGCAGCGGCAACTGCGTGACTTGCAGTGCACGATACCTGCACAGCCGTTAGAACTAGAACGTCTGGTACCGATGCTCGATGCATTTGTCGCGACGGCGCATGCGTTGAATGGCTCTGCGACTGCAGCATATCCGAGAGCCGCCGCGCACAAACTTGACGCAGCAACGGTCGACCAGGCCGCCGAGAGGCACTTTCCCTTGTGCATGAAGCAGCTCCACCGCAAGCTTCGCGAGCATCATCATTTAAAGTACGATGGACGCGTGCAGTACCGGCTGTTCCTCAAAGGCGCGGGGTTCTCGGTCGACGAGTGCATCGCGTTCTTCCGCAGCGAGTTTCTCCAGACGATCCCAGCCGTCAAGTTTGACAAGGAGTACACGTACCACATTCGCCACAGCTACGGGCTCGAAGGGTCTCGCAAGGACTATGCCCCTCTGGACTGCGAGCGCATCATAGCTGGCAGCGCACCGGGTCACGGACAGTACCACGGCTGTCCTTTCAAGCACTGGAGCCCTGCTGCGTTGCAGACTGAGCTGCGTCGACAGGGTCTACCGCGCCACACGTCGACAGCAATCGCGGAACAGGCAGCCGCAGGTCACTGTCAACGCGCGTGCAGAGCGCTGTTCGAGGCAACACATCCCGCAAGTGCTCTGTGTACACAGTGCACGGAGCCAAACGGTCGTCAAGTGGCGAACGCTGCGAAGGTACGGACCTCTAGAGCTGAATTCATGCGGCATCCGAACGCGTACCTGGCTGCGAGCATGGCTACACTCGAATGAACCCAGATGGCTACATATCGCACCAGCGGTGTTTGATTGGCTGGCAGCCGCCGTTGCGTGTCGAGCACACGGGTCGAGGAACTTGTGGAATGGATGCAACAGCTCCGAGTGGCTCTGTGCAGACAGCTTCGGCCTCATTGGTACCGAGGGATTTGGCCGCACTGACGGGTGGCGCTGTCACGTTGGAGCAACACGTGGCGATTCTGCACGAATTGCAGAGCTCCGTAGGCCAAAGTCTGTGGGATTACATGCGACGATTCGTGACCATTGACCTCTTTTTTTCCCACTTGCAATGAATTGTTCCTCATTAATGTGTTTGTTTGTTTGTTTGTTTGTTTGTTTGTTGCACGACCGCTCGTTTGTCTCTAGAGGTGGTGAACAATGCGATTGCAAAGGTAATGAAGCTGCCGGCGGAGCACTTGGGGCAGGTCGCACCAAGGGACGGTCGGAAAAAGACGAAGAAGGAGAAGCAGTTGCTGAAACAGCGAAAGAATGTTACAAACGGCGGTAAGAATCTGACAGACGTCCAGTTGACGCAGACAGTAGCGAAGAAGAAGCGCGAGTTTGACATGAGCAACTACACGACGCGTGCCGTGGCGGTCAAGTTCTTGTACCTCGGAGAGAAGTACGCTGGGTTTGCGCGCCAGGACCACATGCCCGAGACGGTAGAGCGCTACCTTTTGGAAGCGCTGGTTCGCTCAAAGCTCATCCAGAATATTAGCGATGCTGGCTATTCGCGGTGTGGACGAACGGATCGCGGCGTCAGTGCTTTCGGACAAGTCGTGGCACTGCACGTGCGATCAAACTTACCAGCGACTGCTGAATTGCTCAGTGCGTCCTCAATCGATAATGTGCGTCCCGGTGAGAGGTTTCAAGTGCGGCTAGCCACGGGAGAAGTTAAAACGCTTACGGAAGTGGACTACGCTTCCCAGATGAATCGCGCACTTCCAGCCGATATCCGCGTATACTCTGTGGCGCGTTGTCGCCGAGAGTTCAGTGCTCGATTCGACTGCAAAGGACGCATGTATCGCTACTTTTTCGTGCGACGGGACCTGGACATTGAAAAGATGCGCGCAGGTGCGCAGAGCCTTGTAGGAAAGCACGATTTCCGCAACTTTTGCCGCATCGATCACAACTGCCACGTGTATGAGCGCACTGTTAGCTCGTTTGAGATCGTGGAGTGGTCTGGACAGCGTGCCGTCGATCCGCGTCAGCAGATGTACTGCTGTGAAGTATTTGGCCGTGCATTTCTGTGGCATCAGGTGCGCTGCATGGTTGAGGTGCTGTTCCTCGTTGGGTCAGGGAAAGAAGAGACGAGTATCATTCCAGAGCTGTTAGATATTGCGCGAACACCACGAAAACCGCAGTACGACATGGCTTCGGACTTGCCTCTTGTGCTGCACGACTGCTTCTTTGATGACCCCGAAAAGGCCGACGAACCTGGTCCACGTTTTGAGTACACTCCGCTCGCGTTGCTTCAGGTACATGCTCAGCTCACAGAGATGTGGGAGCAGCGGTGCGTGCAAGCAGCGATGCTGCGTAGCTATTTGAACGCGCTCGAGGCATTTCAGGTCGACGCGACTCGAGTGGTGAACGATTTGGATCACTACGCGCCAAAGCTGGAGCAGCTCATGCGGGAACGTAGCCTCTTGACGCAAAACGGTGGCAAAATGCAGTGGAAAGACGTGAGTTGTCTGCTACCGGTAGCCAAGAAACGGAAGATTTTGCCGTTGACGAAACGCGGAACGGGTCATTCCGTCGACGAGTGCAAACGAAAAGCTCAGGAGCGGAAACGTCGACGCCAAATAGAAGAGGGATCGACAACTCAAGGGACGAACGGGGTGCAAGCAGAAGTCAAAGATGGAGCAAGTGGTCCCAAAGCGTCTGCTGGAACGTCGTGAGTGCTGCTATTGTCGTTGTGTACGCCCAGTGCCCTGTTCGGCAACAATGGGACTGGTTCAAGCCACGGAACTATGACCAACTGATGGACTGCACAGCTTGAGATCCTGTCGATGTTCTGACGTTAGTCGAGACAAGCAGCAAAGCATCAGTAGTTTTTGCGAGAAAAAGGGAACGAGGCGTACAGGTCGTTCGAGGATCGGGTATGAGTTGTGGCATACACTGAACATTTATATTTCCACTGTGTACACGTTGTTGGGGAGAACAACTTACGAGACAAAGCCGAAAACTCGGCATCGATGATAATGACTGATCCTGAACAATTCAGTCTTTTCGCTGACAGAGTGGATCTGAACGGCAAAAATCATCTTTTATAGTAAATACTGCATGGCCAAATGGCCTCGATAAACTAACTAATGGTACAAGGGCTTGATGTGCTCCACGACAGCAGCTTTGTCTGTCTATAGTACATGTGTGGGCTGCTGCTGCTGCTGCTACCCCTTGTCGGAAGAAGAGCGCAGGAGAGGACCCGTTCTCGAGTGTCTAGGCAAATAAAGGGATAGGGCCGATAGATGGGACGCAATCGCGGCACGCGCCCAACCGCAACCAGGCGCTTGGGCCTTTTCGAGCCTCTACCGCGACCCACGCTTCTTCTGAGCTTCCGCTGCCTGCGCCGCTTCGATGGGCGTCACAGGTGCAACCTCTTGCTCGTCTTGGTTGAAGCAAACGATAATGGCGCTCACGTTGTCGGTCGACCCAAGCGCTATGGCGCGGCTCACGAGCTCCTCGGTCGCGTGCTGCACGTGGCCGTGAAGCCCCAGCTTGGTACGCACAAAGTTCACCACGTCTTGCGGCTTCATCACGTCGAAGAGGCCGTCACACCCAAGCACCATGAACTCATCCTGACTCGTGATCTCGTGCACCACAATGTCGGGCGTAGCACTGACCAGGTCGCCATTGAACCTGCTCTTGAACTCTCCGCGTCCAGTTTTGAAGTCAATGTCCCCAAAGGCGCGGGAGACGCCAAGCATACCGTAAATCCGACCCTTCGACACCTGTCCCTTTGCTGCAAGGATGCGTTCGCGCTCACTCGAAAGCTGCGGCGTGTGGGCGATGCACATGTCCGTGGCCCGGCCGTTTGTGGACAACACGACCTGCGAGTCCCCTACCGACGACACGAGCGCCGTGCTGCCTCGAACGAGCACCGACACGGCCGTCGATCCACTCGGCAATTGCGCTTTGATGATCTCTTCATCCGTAGCAGCGCACGCTCGCCGCATCGCTTCCTTCAGGACCATCTCTACGTTCCGGTCACTCTGTGCTTTCTCCACTTGAGCCATCACCGACTGTCGCAGGTACTTGAACACATTTGCGTGGAAGTTGCCTGCCAAGTACGTGGCCACTTCGGAGCCGCCATGGCCGTCGTACAGGCCAAAGAACGCCACGAGGTCGTCGTCAATCATCTGCGACGTGGTCATCTGTCGGTCCTCATTGTCTCGTCGAACGCCCGTGTTCGAGTAGACACCGAAACTCAGTCGCAGCTGCGAAAAGTACTGCCCCGCGGGTCGGTGCAGCACGAGCGTCCGCTCCGTGTCGGAAGCCGTCGTGGCAGTGGAGAAGACACTGCCACTGGGACTGATCGGCGGACACGTGCTCGACGACGGCGATGCTAACGCATCCCGAGGCACGTCAATGGCCATGCCGCGTTCGCCAAAGATACTAAAGACGTCGCGATGGGAGTCGCTTGCAGGCAGTCGGCCGGCGCCCACGCCGCTCTCGTCGCGGGCAATCTGCTTGGACGCAGCTTGTAGGAAGATCTCGTTGATGCTGGGCCGTCGTTCAGTGGGACCAACGGGCAGAACGTCCTTCGACGTCTGACAGCCCATCGACAGCTTTGGAATGCGAATGGTAATGACTGAGTCGGCCGCAGTCGAAACTCGACAGGAGCGAGTTCCAACGACGTGCAAAAAGCGCTTCTTCAACCTGCAGTTTCACGCCACGAGAGAGACACATACAGCCACGGAGAGATAGTCAGACACGAGTGTACAGTTCGATCGTGAGGCCAGATAGTCGTTAGATCGAGGAGGTGGGCGTATTGTCATTGACCCACTCGCCCGCGAGCGGAAAAAAGCAGTTTTTTCGCAACGCGGCCAAACTCGGTCGAGATTCACGCTGCCAACAAGTCGTTTGTAACGTACGGATGCGAAACCAGGTAGACGACCGCAACGACGCTGTCCTAGTGTAGGACGATGTAGTTGTAGTACCAGTAGTGGTACTGGCCGGTGCGTGCTAAGTGCGTGCGTACTTGCGATTCGGCGTGACTTGGCTGTCGCGCTGCGTGGCTGCGCTCGCGACTGGAAGACGGACGTGGGACCAACGAGAGGCGGCCGTTGCCACCTGCGCGGGAGACTTCCTTTCTGTGAATGACGTCTTCAGCGGCCGGTGGCCCGTGTCGGTCGTTTTTGCCAACGCGGCTGGCGCGAGGCGGGCGTAGAAAGACTAGAAGAGCCAGTCGCCCGGCCAATCGCAACACACGATCGGTCTGGACTCACTCGCTGTCTGTATGGCTCTGGGAAAACCACCTGCTCGCCCGCGTGTCTGATCGCTTGCTGCCCGCTTGAGACAACAACGACAACAGCGACAACAGCGACGACGACGACGACGACGACGACGACGACATGATGCTGATGATGACGACGACACACACACGCGCTCCCACGCCCCCGTTACACCACCCGTTGCTTCAACTTGCGCGGTGGCTTTTTCGTTGACCGACCACATTGTGCAAGTCCAGTACAGTTTTGTTGCTGTGCTGCTGCTGCCGGGCCACACAAATAGTGCGGCACTTCAAGTCCCCACCGGCGACAGGCACCTCATCCACCCGTCTCGCCGGGTAGCGGCAACACGCATACTGCTTGCTGTTGTCACGTGCGATATACCAGAGGCTGGCATTGGTAGTGGCAGTTTGGTGCAGGGTCGTGGCGCTGCCATTGAGCGGCTGAGAAGCCGTCGAGTACGTGTGTGCGCGTGTGTGTTACACGCTGCCGTGTGGTTGCAGGCGCGTGGAACTCACGCACCCGTTTGACGAAATGCTCGTGCAGTCACAGTGCAGAATCGCGCGTGCATTTGCTCTTTCCGTGCGGCGCGCAGCAGACAAGAAGACAGCCAGGCGTGGCTGTGGCCATCACGCTAACTACCGAAAGCAGCTGGTCTGCATGACCATGGCCTGCGTGTTTGCAGCACGAACGGTGCTTCTCGGGCTAATCAGAGATGCACGTGCGTGCGTGCGAGGACGTGCCGTCCAGCTGCAACTATGATGCAAGCAACCACGTCGTCGGGCACAAGGGCTTTATATAAAGAACGCGACCGATGATGGGGCGACCATGGAGGGCCGTGGCCGCTACTGCGGCGCGAAAGCCGCCACGAAAATCTTTCGAAAAACGCAGTCAGTGCTCTTTGACCAGCGGCATGACCCGTGGGACGGTCGTCCACCATTGAGTGTCGACCGGGGCGATTACGGCCGCAACGGAATCGCGTGTGCGTGTCGTACGGCGTCACGTCGCCCGTTCTTTTGCGTCGACCGTGGCCGAAACGGCAGCCCTCGTGCGCGTGCTTGATTTATCATGGCGTCCATGGCCTTTGGCGCCTGGGCCGGTGCTCTGGAGCAACATCCGGTGCTCTGGAGCCACCCTCGATCTTGACGTGCGAGGCAAATCAGACCGCATGTGAATGTCGCGGACCCGCTCTTTCGATAGATAAGCGACTTATTGAACAGCGCTCATGCGCGGCAGCCCGACCCCTGGAGCCCACGCCAGCGGCTTGGCGTCTTGTAACTTCCACACGCCACTGTCGAGAGGTGGGACCGCTGCTCCGACCAACTTCAATCATCAAGTGACGCGCGAAACGGCTGCCCTTCCTCCGAGTGACACCTGCGTGCGCCCCGAGAAAAAGACCAGCCACGATGTGCAAGAAGCTGCTGCAAGAATCTGGAGAGAGGACTGTTGTTTGCTAGTGCTACGTGGTGGAGCGCGCGTGACTGTGGATGTTTTTTGTGTGGCCGCATGTCGCGTGTTACATGCCCACTTTACCGAGTTTTTTTCCTGAGGGATCGATAAAAAATGTAGCACTGGATTTGTGGGAAAGAAGGCGCAATGGACGTGCGACGGTAATGTAGCCAACTCTACATATGCGTCTCGGCAGACACTCTCGCTTTGTCATGGCTAGGTCTCTCTCTCTCTCTCTCTCTCTCTCTCTCTCGTTGGATTTGAGGATAGTGACGCATGGTCGGTTGCACCGACTGGGGACTGTCAGATACCGGTATGGGTAGGAAGTATTCCCACTGTCTGTCGAAAAAGCGTTTTTTGATCGGTACAGACATGATCTTATCCTTGCAAGATTCTGATTGGCCAGTTTCTCACATACTCGGCTCGAGCTTCCTCAGCCATCAAACCACGGCCAGTCAAATTCTGCCGTTCGACAGTGGGTGTCTGCCATTTACTCTTTTGCGGGTTGGTAGCGACGTAGCATTCTCGACGATGTCACAACATATTCTATGCTAATACTGAAAGCCGCCGTGGAGTCTTCGGACCTCGCCCGGCCGATGTGGAAGCACAATCGTATTTATACACTACTGAGAGAATGCACCTCACCCAGTTGCGAGCGGTTTCACCATATCATTGCCCGCACGCTTGCTTCGTGCTTCATTTGTAGCTGGTAGACACCAAATTGAATGCATTGTGGAGCATCGTCGATGCGCCTTCATCGCATGAGTAAATCACGGTCAGTGGGAAATGCTGACCGTGGGGCATGGACGCTCTGTGAACAAGGGTTGAAGAGGAGTCCGCCAAAATGGCTTGACAGCCATCACCGAAACAATCAGGTACGGGAGTTACTGGATAGAAGCATGGGAGATGGGCAGATTTTCGAAGATACTGCAATTGCTGAAGGTTCTATGCCGCTCGCAAAGAATGACGAAGCCCATTGTGCCACTCCTTCCCGGCGACAAGAGCCTTGCAGCTTCCATTTGTGCAGATCTATGACGATCCTTCCACATCTCCTCTGGCTCAACGAATAGCGTAGTGCACATCAGACCGCATGCTGCGGGGCGTTGACTGCCTATTCGTTGTCCCTCGATTCAAAAGCCGATGCACGAAAAAGTGGACAGTGGTCTTGGGTGCTACGCTAGCCAGCGCGGAGAACGTGGGTGTGTGCGTTTCGGTCAGGACTCACCTCCAGACCATGCGACCCACCATTGCGCCTAGATGGCCCCTCAATCACACCATCGCTGACGTAGCAATATTAGAAGTACTGAACGATCCACTGGCATGGTCAGCCTCAGTAGTTGCTGCAGCGCGCGTGTGACGCCTGCCCTTTCGACAATAAGAAGGTACTGCTCGCAAGCATCCATCATCGCGATGAAAAGCTGCCAATAAGTCCTTCCCGTCCGATGGAAAAGATAGGGTACACACCAGAACAGTTGCAAAGCAGAGGGCAACTGGCGTCCTGCCAGTGCCAAATGCACCACTTCAGTCCGCAGCTCAAGTAGGAGATCACCTCCGGTTCCTGGCATCCACAGTACAAAGAATCTAAAGAAGTGGGAAAATGCGCGATACCCTCACTATATGGGCATGGAATGACGTCGGCAAGTGTTGGCGGTGAATGTATGCGGAACAACTTACAGCAACAACGGAACAGGAACATACCCGGATGCGGCTGAAGTTGGCACGTCTGATGCTTGAATTGAGATGGACGCGAAACAGACGTAGTAGTGGGTGCAGCAGGAGTAGCGGTCTACGATGGACTAGTTGCATTCCTTTTCGAGTGACACAGGTGCGTTACACGCGCCACTCTTTCGACACGCGAACATTGCCGTCGGAAGACTCATCTACTGACCCGTGGGAGTCTAACTGAGCGTATGGTAAAGGTCAAAGCCTTGCTTCGCATCGAGATACTTTCGCATGGCTCGGTGAAAACTCATCTCATCATCATACATGAATATGCACAGGTTGCAGACGGAGAAAGGTAATTGATTTATCCCAGACCTGTTCCTCTGACCTTTGTGCATCTAGTAGGCGGTGTCGGTCACGCCAGCGTGCGAATCTCCATATGTCGGAGGTGCATTACGCTTTCTGTGGTGCCCTCAGGGTATCAGAAAGGCGCAACGTCTTCTCCATCGCAAGTCGAATAGCGCGTGTCGCAAGCGGCGGCTGTTACACCAGTGGTATACTTCAAGCAATGGTGGCCTTGAGCGAAGCGCTGACATGATAAGAGCAAGTGGCGAGGAAGCACTTGCATCCGAGAAGAAGACGATGATGACGGACACGACAAGATGCCGACTACACTGACTGAAACACTCGTGGCGACATGAGACTGGCACGAGATGGCGCTTGCATTCAAACATTTCGGACTGCCTCCAAGACATTCCCCACGGCTTCTCATAACGTGGGCGGTCCTTGTACCCTTGCTTTGCATCGCATGTAGACAAGAAACTGGTGTGCATCCAGGTAGTCGGTCCGACTGATTTAGCTCGGCCGCTGACGTGCGTCCATGCCGCCCAGTTTTTCCAGCTCTTCGTTCAGCTCCTTTAGATCCTTCGACTCAAAAGCCATAGCATCTCCTCCTGTTGCCCCACTTTCTGTAGCAGTAGCAGCACCGAACGGCAATCCTGATACAACAGCCGAAACAATGGAAGGTGGGATCACGCTTCCCACAGCCGAAATCGGGTTGGGAAGATGACGGAGAGGCGTATTCGAGACGACCTGCTCGGTCAAAGGGCCTGCAAGTGACGTCACAGCCGAAAACATGGACTGTAGTCCGATAGCAGCCATGCCCATCCCGTCATTCAGCTGCGACTCGCACAAGGCATGGAAAAACAGTCAGTCGCATCATCTCCTCCAATGCAAGAGGCAGTCGACACCTGCACGTACATTCTGAGGCAGCTCTCCAAGCTGGACCGTTTCGTCCACTCGGCGGTCCAAAAATGCCCACGTGTCTTGGAAGTCCGGCGACTTGTCATTCAGCATAAACAACTCCGTGCTCGCATAAATGCCGGTGAGGATAGCACGCTTCGTGTACCACGACAAGTCCGTCGACTTGTCTCCGGCAAAGTACCAGATCTCATCCGACAGCTGGATCAGTTTCTTTGCAGTGTGAGGAGCGTTCTGGGGCAAGGCACCGAGCGCCATGCCCTGCGGCCATGTAGCAATGAGCGGCTCCAACATCTCGAGACGCGTGCGAGCACCAAACTTGATCCGTTCCGCTACAGTCATGGCCTGCAGCTGCTTCGTGTTACGGATCAGCGTCTCACGTAGCTTGGCAAGACTCGAGTCCATGAAATGCTCCACGAGTTCGACTGCGCCACGCGAGAACATGCCGTGAGCCACGGACGGGTAGCCGAGGTCCTTGGCACCAGCTGCTAGAGCATTGATTGTCCATCTGCCGCATGGATGATACAAGACAACAGTAAGCAGGACAACAAGTGGTGGCGATAAGAACGAGATAAAAGAGGGAGTTGCAGATAGCTACGATAGTCACTATGGATACGCTTCTTGATATGCATTCATACACGTGCATGTGGATGTCGATATCAATTTACACAGGGCATTCATTTCAGCCTCGATCGTCGAGAACGAGCGAACGTACCCTTGTAGTGGTACATGTTCCATCGCCTTGGCCAGGATGCGCTGCTCCGGGTCATCGAACGTCTCGGGTCCGACTGCTTCTGTGCTACGAAAAGCAGTCGATCGGGTGCTCTGGCAACGCATCGGGCGAGCAGCCAGTGGGCTCTCATCGCAGCACCGAAGGCTCGAGCGCGTGTACAAAGAGGTGGCGCAGCCGACGTGACGCTGGTGGCTGCTGCCGGCTGCGAGACGCATCGAGCGGCGGACGAGACTTCTGAACGTCATGACCGCGATCTGATGGAATGTTTCTCTTGTTTTGGGCACTTTTGCTCAATTGGGTTGTGGGAAGGCATTCCCGAGAGGGTGGAACGAGGCTGACGAGAGTGACTCTCTTGGCGTCCAAGTCGTAAAGATCCGACCGACGCTTTGTCGTCGTGTGGTCTTTTCGTCCAATGAACGTCAGCTGCGCTCACCTTGCTGCAGGCTTTGATCGCGTAGACTCTGTGTCGAGTGCCGAGGCAGCAGCTTTCCTTCGCTGATAGCTGATGTGCGTCATTGTATATCGGGTGTCTCCATACCAAGCTCAGAGCCCTAAAGAAGATACGAAACGAAAGAAAGCAGTTCGACGGACCAGTCACTACGTCGTCTCTGTCCGCCGACCGCCGAGGCATTCGTAGTAGCAGCTTTACACCAAAAAGTTACAGAAGAGCAAACAAAATACAGCTCTAGGAGTATGTTGACACTCTTGTTACAAACGGCGGCATGAGAGCAGGAACGATACTAGTGTCGAACCTTCCACTGCACAAGGTAGGCAGGACAAACAGTGTTGTAAATCGATCAATCGATCACATCCGAGTTGTGTAGATAGATGTTTTTGCTTGTTACGGGGCAGTGGGATATGTGACTGCATGCATTCCTTCCACCAAGTGGTGCTCAGCTTGACTGCACCCAGGCCATGCCTTTGTCGTTATTGAAGCCATACAGCGACTGCTTGTACGATTTGCCGATACTGCCTGGGTGGTTGGAAGAAGTGAAGCTATTCAGTTTGACGCGAACTCGATGAAGGAAATCTTGCTAGAATCAATAACATTTCTAGTACAGCAGGAGGACTGCTTGCTCCATGCAGGCCCTCATCGCGAAAAGCAAATACCTCCGTTTTATATCGCACAACAGAATATCCCGAAGCCAATTAATATTGGACGTCAATATATGTGTTTTTAGTTTGTCAAATATATTTGTTTTTATTGGCGATCATTCCTTACTGACGCACATCACGAAATATATTAATGCATGGCTTGCTGTTTATTTTGCAGCAAAGAATATAGTGAATCTGTTGGAGCAGATCATTTGGGAAGAAGCCAAATGTGAAGTGAATATATAGTGGTCCTTAGTTCGCAAACACCGATTGCTAGTCTAAGCCTTCTGGAAATTTTACATACATGCTGTTTATAGCCATATCGCGCATTACTAGTGGTATGGAGCATGTAAGTAATCGCGGTGAAATTTAACACTGTCACACACCGTGAAGTACTAAATGTTCTTTTGGTCCAATGTCTCTTGTCGGAAGCAGGTACTTAAGTCTCTTGGTCCCCAGAGCGTTGGTAAGCATATCTGCTAAATTGGTCCACCGTCGACTTGCACTTGACTGTTATGATGCCGTGTGCCACATTCTCTCGGATGGAGTGGAGACGGATGTCGACGTGCTTGGTCCTGGCATTTTATCTTGAGTTCCTTGCAAGTCCAATCGCACCTTAAATATCTTCCTAGATCCACGTCGCTCCCACTTGCTCATGACCGAGGTCCTTGAGCATGACGCGGACCCACAGCAATTCATGCGCACACAATCTTACGGTCACGTACTTCGCCTCTGTCGAGCTTATTGCCACCGTTCGTTAATACTATGACTTAAACACAACGGGTATGCCACCGATCATCACCATTTTACCTGACAAAGAGCTTCGATCGTCAATGTTGCTTCCCCAGCCCGCATTCGTGTATGTTGTTGCTTACATTTCGCTATTGCTGCCGTCGTAGAATATGCCGTATTCGCTTGAATTCTTGAGGTGTCGAAGAGCACGAACGGCAGCCTTTTAATGTTGCTGACCTAGATTCTCCAAGAAGCGTGACAACTGCGTGGTGACATATGCCACATTGGGGTGCGTAAAGGTTGTGATGTATAGTAAATAACCAACCAACGACCTATACGGCTTCGACTTCATTTCTCCTTGTTCAGCGTCTGTCGCTGGCGATTTCATCTCAATAGCTTCAATCCTGGATCACATGGGTTGACCACTGCTTTGGCGTCTTCTTGGTCGAAACGATTGACCACGTCATCCAATTAGCGAGTTTGTACAATCATCAGTGCACTGACTTGGAGATCATGATTAACCTCCATGCCGAGAATAAACTTGAACTTGCCCAGCTCCTTCATCTTGAACGAATGCTTGAGTGCTGGCTTGACCTTATGCATCTTTTTGCTAGTCTTCGCGGCGATGATCATGTCGTCGACGTAGAGGCGCACATAGACGTACTTGCCAATGTTTCATTTAACGTAGACTTACCGACCTGCTCCACTGCTGCGAAATTTATTCTGCAAGAATACCGCATGGATCGTCTTCTTCCATGCAATCGCAGCTTGCTTGAGACCGTATATTGTCTTATCCAGATTACACATCATCTTCCCGGCGTTTGCTATGCCATTTGGTGTTTCCATGAACACTTCTTCCTTAAGATTACTGTTCAGAAACGACTTGTCTGCATCCAGCTGTTCAGTCATGTATCCTTCGCCACCACAACGGCCAGGGTTCATGTTTGCCACGAGCGAGTACTTCTTAAAGAAGCCGACATCGAGCCTCTGCTTGAACACTTTAGCGACAAATCGGGCCTTGCACCTCTTCACCTATCCGTGCTCGTTGCACTTTTCGCAAATACCCATCTACATCTAATTAATCGAACTTCCTGCATCTTCGGGACAAGCCTCCATGAACCGTTCTCCGAGTAAGCTTTGAGCATAGCGCTTATACCCTTCACCCACTCCTTGGCGTCGTCGCTGTTCATGGCTTGCTGATATGCCGTCGGTGCATCATTTGCATCACCAACACTTGCCGCATGGGCCAGTACAGCTTGTACAAGCAGGCTATCTTCATCAACACGAGGTCATTTGGGTGACGGAGGATAGAATTGATCCTTATTGTCAGTATCGTCGTCGCTGTAACGCATGTGCTCGTCACCAATGATCGATCCATTTAAAAAAAGAAGAGCTGGTTCTCTTGGACGTCAAAATTGCTCCCTTTCAGGCCTGAACATCATGTCGCCGTTTTCTGTTGACTCATGTGCCCGATGATTGTCGTCAATCGTCAACCTGATGACAAAGACTCATGTTCATCTTCTTGCATCTCGACGTCTTCAAATGGGTCCGCTGTTGACTCCATCGGTTCATCCTTCACAGGCGGTTTTTCTCAGGTTGATGATGATCCACTTCTTCGATATCCTTGATCAATATAATGATTTCAGCCTTCCCCGTTTTCGACGTGCCGTAAATTTCATTCACCTCGCGTTCGTCGAGCTTGAATGATCTTGACACCTTGATCTTATTCAGCTCTACATCATACACTCGATAGCCCTTCGTATTCTCCCCCATAGCCAAGGAACATATACCTGAACCTCTTTGGCTCGAGCTTAGTGCTTTTATCGTCTTCAACATGAGCTAAACCCATCGATCCAAACACTCGCAAGTCATCTGTTCGAGGCCACATATTGAATACAATCTCGTATGGAGTCGCGTCAGTGTGGGTGCTGTTTGTTGTCCGATTGACCGAATACACTGCCGTGCCAATTGCCTCTGCCCACCATGAAGTATATCCACCCTTGTAGTGCATCATGCTCCGTGCCTTCGCCATGAACGTTCGATTCATCTGCTCAGCCACTCCATTTTGCTGAGGGCTGTATGGCGCAGTTTTCCAATGTATAATACCGTTACGCTGACAAATTCCATCCATGGTATTGTTCACAAACTCGGTGCCGTTATCAGAGCGTAGACACTTGATACGCTCTGCCCAGTGATTATCGTAAATGGTTTTGAAAGACTCAAACTTTTTCGGCACTTCGCTCTTCTTCTTCTGAAAGTATGCCACAACGTACTTCGAGTAGTCGTCAACGAATGTGAGCACATACTTCGCGCCACCATTTGACTCTGTCTTCATTGGTCCCATTACGTCTGTGTGCACAAATTCTAGAGCACGTGACTTCTTCGTCTGCAAGAGAGATGAAATTGCGTCACAATTTGCTTGCCTTTGAAGCATCCACCGCATAGCGCATTCGTTTTAAAACTAGTTAGTAATTTTCATTCAGTAAATATGAGTGTAGAAGAAGGTAGATTATTAATAGAAATTTAAAATTTATGATTAAAAAGAGGAATTGATGGAAATCATTTTTAGAAGATTATTTAGCTTGGTTAAAAAAATAAAATTTATTTTAATTTAGATATTTAAATATAAAAACATTTTTTATGCCATTTGATTCACTAGATTGGCGCAAGCCAATGATGACGATGGTATGTGGAACGGGGAACATTTCTGATCCGTGTTTACTGTTAAGCATCTCTAATTCAGTACAAGGGTGCACGCTCCCTGAATTCACGTACACGTGAGCGATGAGAAAGCGCTTGAGAGAGAACTGAGAAATGAAATCCTTACCAGGGGAAAAGAGAGCTTGATCTGCTTATGTTTTTACTAACTCTATTTGTACAACTTTCTTTAAATATCATAATTCCTTTTAGCTAGTCCTCAATTAGCTTATAACCCCTTGTAGCTAATGATAAAATTAGGCTTGACATTGGACTTGATGTGTTAGCTAATATAGTCTCTTTTAAATACCAAATACCGTCATAACGGCCCTGATCTATCAATTTATATTTATTATAAAGAAGAGGCTATGCAACGGGGTTACACGTAGACTGGCAGTCGAAAATAGGTGTGGTGCACACAAGGGACGGGGCTCCCTTCAAAGTGATATTCGAACGCAGTATCAATTGTTGAAGACTGATGTCTGTCAACCTTTGATTACGAGATCTTTTGAGAGGTTTATTTAGGACATCAGCGAGTATGTTAATTACTTTGTTCCAAGGTGTTCTTTTAGGTTAAAAA